CGGGACCTGCCCGCCTCCAGGCCTGTGTCAGGGCCCTCCCATTCATCTGATAAGCTTTCTTTTTTCTTTTTTTGAGTCGCAGTCTCACTCTGTCGCCCAGGCTGGAGGGCAGTGGCACGCTGCTCATGGCCACTGCAGCCTCGACCTGCTGGGCTCAGGCGAGCCTCCCGCCTCAGCCTTCCAAGTAGCTAGAACCACAGGCATGCACCACCACGTCCAGCTAATTTTTTGATTTATTGTAGAGACAAGGTCTCACCATGCTGCTCAGGCTGGTCTCAGTCTCTGAGTTCAGGCAATCCTCTCACCTCTGCCTCTGCCTACCAAAGTGCTAGAATTACAGGTGTGAGCCACCGGGCCCGGCCTAATAAGCTTTTTTTTAAAGACTACAATGTTGACTTTTTTTTGAGACAGAGTCTCCCTGTGTTACCTAGGTGGGTCTCAAACTCCTGGACTCAAGTGATCCTCCTGTCTCAGGCTCCCAAAGTGCTGGGATTATAGATGTGAGCCACTGCACCAAAGCTAATACGCATTTTTATTTTACGACGGTGTACCTACATTGTACTCAGTGCTGTGAATAGACAGTGAACAAAATGGACAGCTGTCCTAGTAATGCTGAGTTTCTAGTGTGGAGAAAGACATGCAATAGGATTTAAAAAGTAAACCAGTAAGAAGTAAATTACCCAGGCGTGGTGACTCACACCTATAATCCCAGCACTTTGGGAGGCAGAGGCAAGAGGATTGCCTGAGCCCAGGGGTTCAAGACCAGCCTGGGCAACTTGGCGAGACCTCCTCTCTACAATAAATCAAAAAATTAGCCAGGCGTGGTAGCACGTGCCTGTGGTTCAGTTACTTGGAAGGCTGAGGGAAAAGGATCACCTGTACATGCCACTGCACTCCAACCTGGGTGACTGTGTGAGACTCCTACTACAAAAAAGAAAAAAGAATTATATTGTATGTCAGGACATGAGATCACAGGTATGATGAGACTGGGAAGGTGGTGCCATGCTGCACAGGGCAGTCAAGGAAGGCTTCCCAGAGGAGGGGGAACTGAAGGGGATATAAGAACTGAAGGGGATATAAGAACAGCAAAGGCCCTGAGCTGGGACCGTGCCTGGTGAGTCTGGGTGGAATGAACAAGCTGGGGAGAGTAGGGGAAGATGGCGGCAGGGAGGTGATGCAGAATGTGGAGGACCTGGCAGGCCACAGCCAGGAGTGCAGTGGGAGCCACGAAGGGTTCTGAGCAGAGGAGGGATGCCCCCTGACTCAGTAGCTCACAGGTGCCCTCTGGCTGCTGTGGGGAGAACCGATGGTGGTGACCAGGGCTGGAGGTGACAGGGACAGGGCGGGGAAGAAGGAAGCAGATTCTGGATCTCACTTGAACTAGCGCGTGTCTGTGTGGGAAGGTGTGCATGTGTGTGCCTCCTGCCTGGGACAGGCCTGTCCCCTCCCACACATGCATGTCCGTACCTGGGCTCCATGCTGAGAATGCGGAATGCCGGACTGGTATCGGACAGTCGCTCCCGTTTCACTGGACATTGCTTCTCCTAGGGGCAGAGGCCAGAGGTCAGAGGCCTCCAGGTGTCCATCACTTGCCCTCCCACCTCTATGCGGTCAACCCTGCCCTCACCCAGCAGCGCATAATGTCCCAGAGAGCCGAGGGGGGTGCATCCGTCTTCACTGCGTTCTTACAGGCGTGGGAGAGTGACACTCGGAAGCCAGCATGGAGGAGGGCCGACCTGGGGAACAGCAGGGGTCATAAGGGGGAGGCTGGACCCAAAGCCCAGGCTGACCTGCAGGGGTGTCAGCTGTGTCACATGAACTGGCGCAGCTGCACCCATCAGAAATCATCACAGAAAACTACCCCCCAAGAGGGCTCATGCTGCTGGGTTCTTTTTTTCTTTTTATTAAAAAAAAAATTTTTTTTTTAGTCGGAGTCTCACTCTGTTGCTCAGGCTGGAATGCAGTGCAGTGGCATGCTCATAGCCACCACAGCCTTCACCTGCTGGGCTCAGGCGATCCTTCCATCTCAGCCTTCCAAGTAGCCAGAACTACAGGTGCATACCACATGCCCGGCTGTTTTCTTTTTACTTTTTAAATACACAGTGGCTCGTGCCTGTAATCCCAGCACTTTGGGAGGCAGAGGCGAGAGGATTGCCTGAGCCCAGGGGTTCGAGACCAGCCTGGGCAATGTGGTGATACCTCGTCTCTACAATAAATTTAAAAATTAGCCAGGTGTGGTGGTGCCCACCTGTGGTTCCAGCTACTTGGAAGGCTGAGGTGGAAGGATCGCTTGAGCCCAGCAGGTCGAGGCTGTGGTGTCATGAGCATGCCACAACACTCCAGCCTGAGCAATACGGTGAGGGCAACTCCAACTCAAAAAAAAAAAAATTAGAGACAGGATCTCACTCTGTCACCCAGGCTGGAATGCAGTGGCACAATCATGGCTCACCACAGCCTTGATCCTGGGCTAAGGTGATCCTCCTGCCCCTGAGTAACTGGGACTACAGGTATGCACCACCACAACCATCTAATTTTTTTATTTTTTGTAGAGATGGGGGTCTCACCGTGTTGCCCAGCCTAGTCTCCATCCCCTGGCCTCAAGCAATCCTCCCACCTCTGCCTCTCAATGTGCTGGGATTACAGGGGAGAGTCACCATGCCAGTCCACCGCCAGTTTCCTGAACACTTTTGCTCAAGCGCAGCCCGGGACTCTGATGGCCCGACTTGTCCTGGGCTGCCCTGCGGTCGGGGCCGGGCTCCGCCCCCTGGCCCTCACCGCAGCTGTAGGAGGCTGGGCGTATTGCAGTGGATGGTGCTGCTCAGCTGGTCCAGTGTGTAGTACAGAGGCACGTCAGGGAGCTCCTGTGAGGGGGGGCGGGATGGGCACGAGCAGAGACAGGCAGGCACGGGCGGAGCCCTCCCCAGCCCCAGCCCGGCCCCCACCTCCGTGATCACGCTCAGGACCCCCCGGATACGCTCCGAGGTGTGAAAGCGGCTGGGGTTGGCGCTCACAGCCTCCAGGATGCGGCCCACGAAGTCCAGGTCATGGATGGGCTCTGCCCACATGGGGCCACCGAGCTGGGGACGCAAGGTGGGGGGACAGTTGAGCAGAGACCGTGATCTCCAAGAGCCCTGTGGTCCCTCTGCCTCCCCTCGCCCGGTCCTACCTGGTGTCTCTGCCCACAGTGCTCACACTCAGGGGCCACGGGGGGACCGCAGGCCGCAGAGAATTTGACCCTGCACAGAGAGGGGCATTGGGGGAGGTGGCCCTGGGACGCCCTTTCTCCCTCCTCCCAGGGTACCACTGCTCACCGGCCGCCGGGGGCTCCTGATGTCTTGCCGAGGCGCTGAAGATGGAAAGCCCCACAACCCACACACTGGAACACGAGTGCCTGTTTGCTGGGGGGGCCAGGGGTGGGGGGGCAGAGTATGAGTTCTCACTTGGTCACCACACCCCAACACCTCCCTCAGACTGGCTCTGGCCTACTTCTTTATTTATGGCTTGGGTCTCGCTCTATCATCCAGGAGTGTGGTGGCACGATCACA